AAGAAACCTGGAATCGTAGACAAACCATCTCCGATTAGATCTCCCCGATCTGTTGCCTCCTCCATCGACGAACTCAATAACGCAAAACAGAACACCAACGCACAACAAAAAGCGAAAGGAAAGAAGAAAATAAACTTGCGAAACTTGCGAATGGAAACTACCAAATCACGACTGGAAACTACCAAAAACTCGAATGAATTGGCTGCCAAATCAAAAATAACGTCGTTAACGGCCTTTGGAAGTAATTTTTTTTTAATTAGGACGGCGTCGTTTTCAGGCCGTTTTAGAGACGTGCGCACATTGCAATGTGCACACGTGCGCATAGGATAATTTGCCGTGTACCCATATCACAAGGCTTTCCTCTCCTTTGTCTGCTAACTTCTGAATAGGTGGCCACCCGGTTATCAATTCAAGAAGCACAACTCCAAAGCTGAAAACATCAGATTTCACAGAGGCTCTTTGGCCAATCACGTACTCTGGTGCAATATAACCGAAGGTCCCGTGCATTCTAGCTGGAGAACTGGGACAACTGAGCACTCCATCATTTTGCAGGCATTTAGCCATGCCAATGTCAGACATCTGTACATATATCCAAACAGATAAGTCCTAAAAGGGAAGTCTTAAAAAAAATGCAGATATCTTCCCATTCTAGTACTTGAGAGGTTTCTAATCACCTTGGCTCTCCAATTCCCATCCAGTAAAACATTTGTGGACTTGACATCCCGGTGTAAAATCCTTGGCGCTGCCGCCTCGTGTAGATACTCCAACCCCCGATCAGCTCCCATGGCAATTGCAACCCGAGCATTCCACTCCAAACATCTCCCCGACGAAGCTCCATCCAGACAGTCTCGTAGACTTCGATTAGGCATGTACTCGAATACAAGCAGCCTGAGAAAGCGTTTCCCGTGGCGTTCTGAGCAATAGCCCAGCAATGGCACCACATGACAGTGATGCAGCCTCGATATCAGTTCTATCTGAGCAAGAACACACAAAACGTATTGGCCTGCAATAACCTAACACCGCACAGAAACATTGTTGTCGTTTTAACCTCAAACTCATACCTCTGACAAGAAAGAGGATTCTCTGTCTGGTTCTCCCTCCTCGCCGCCTTTTATTTTCTTAACTGCAATAACTCTTCCATCCTTCAGCTGGCCGCGGTAAACGCAGCTGCTCCCTCCAACTCCAATCAGATTGGAACATGAGAACTTACCCGTTGCAATCTCTAACTCGATGTATGAAAATCGTGTGATTGTTCCATATGATGTTCCCACTTTGTTTCTGAACAGCAGTGGAACATTGAACAACACACAACCTGCAAATTAAGGTTACAATAGATACCTGTGTTAAGAGTCCTGCATTGGAAATATAAGAAAGAATATATGGGCTTATAAGGCCATCGGTTAGACTAACTAATTTATTGGATTCAGTCTTTTAGTGTGGTTTGACCCATGTGCATTATTCTAGAAGAGGATGGCACTACCAAAACTCATTTCTTGTTCCGACTAAAACTGAGGGAGATGGATGGAGTGTTTATTCCTTAGGTGGATATAGAACAGCATCAGAGCAACAGAAGCAAGAGTTGCAAGTACAGAACAAAGCAAGAGACCGGGCAACGAAAACGCCTTTGCTGAAAATCCACTTATTTGGAGAGTGCATTTCACTCACAGCCCCTAAAAAGTAGCAATGAAACACTGCATAAGCAAATCAAGAATTGATTCCTTCTGCCCTCAACTTTGTCAGATCGTACGAGCCAAATACCATAACTGCAAGCGCAGGAAGTGAAACAGCCAACATCGTTACGTTCAGCAGCAACTAAAGGCAAGCAGTCTGCAGGACATAACACATCCATCTACTTTCACTAAACCCTTCTGCATAATGTATATTGTTAAGAGTCTAACATTGAAAATATAAGAGAGAACATATGCCTTTATAAAGTCATGGGTTAGATTAACTAATTGATTGGATTCAGTCTTTTGGTGTGGTTTTCAGGGGAGGGTTGTTTCATAAACAAGATCAAGAGGCATACCAAGATTGCAATCACAGGACGAAGAACAATTGGCAGGGATCATACGTCTCGAGTCACTGAAATAGGCGCATTCCCACTTATTTGTCATGAATGCCATTATAAGGCCCCTCTAAGTCAGAGAAGTAAGTAAATAAAACAATGTTCTGTACAGTCACACAAAACAACAGAATATCCACATCTAAAATAAACTAAAGAGGTCAAACCTGAACACCTCACATACACAAGACTGAAGAAAACAAGATCGAAGCACTAACCACCGCGAATTTGATGTATCCATGTTGCACTAATCAGGAAAACAAGGACATTTGGCATGGAAAACCTCATCTGTCATATCGCAACCGCTACTTAAATTAGGCAGAAGAGAGGGAGCAATGCATATTTTATAGTAACTAAAAGTAACTCAAACTGTCAAAGAATGGGTAGGAATTACGACATGGTTGGCCAACAAATCCATCTATGTCCCAACTTCTCTACTACCCTTACAACAATCCAATCAACCCACAGATCACATATACATGCATATCTGCCATTTTCTTCTAAAGTTTCATTCAAGTAGGATGCCTGAACTATCAGTAAGTGTTCAATATACAACTAGGGAGATGCAGCTGCTTATACTTGGCTAAACTCGGTGTAATAGTCAATGCTTCTGAAACAAAAACTCATACCATCAAGGGGTAACCCAGCCAAGTTGGTTAGATTGCTGACTTGGTAACCACGTGGTTACAAGTTGCAACTCCCAGTAGCTATGAACAACCTCGGCTGGTTTACCTGTGGTCCTTTGACGGCTATGGTCATAAGGCAAGATTTAGCCGTATAAACCCTCGAGTAGGTAGTGGCTATGGGTTTCCCTCGTCACTCCCTCAAAGTCTAAACCCTGAGAACAACCCTAGATTTGCCTATAAGCAGATATGTCAAGTTCAGTGTAGAAAGAAGACTAAAAATGAAATGCAGACAACAGACAAGGCAGCTAACATGAAAAAAAAATAGATTTCTTTAAAAATGTGTACTAATAAGTGGAAAGGTCCAGCAATGAAACCTTGTGAAAGCAAACCAATCAAGCATCAAAGTAGAGAGTAATTCAATAAAATAAGGCATTAAAATATTCCGTGCTTCATGCCAAGAATATTATGATCAACATATTCAATGAAACAGACAAAGTGCTTCTTCATTATGATCAAGAATAGAACAAAGAACGTTTCTGGGATAAATTAAAGATTTACTGATATAACCAAGGGTGATCAGATAGATAGATACTCACATCTATTTAGCTTGATGATACTGTGACCCCAATCTTTGTAGTATGTACTCACCTCCTCCGCTCTTGCTACTCTGGACTTTGAGGATGTTTGCTCCGAAATGACTTGCATTATTATTATTATTATTATTATTATTATTATTATTGTTATTATTGTTATTATGTTACTGTGGACTTGAGGATGTTTGCTCCGAATTGACTTGCATTATTTTTTTTTTTTGTTAACACGAAAACTAATATTCACTATTCAAAGGTGTGTACTAGACGAGGTAAACTAACATAGGTTGTAGCCAATAGTCCTCTCTTGAGAATCAAACATATCAAAAGTCAACACCGACTTAATTAAGGTTGCCTAGAAATTGACTTGCATTAGAAAAATGCTACTTGGACTCTCTAATTCTACTTCCTCACTTAAACTTTTGATATAGACATTTTTCTTGAAATTCACATAATAAAGATAATTTATCAATGATTGTCAAGTCATGAAGTAAAAATAAGAAAATAGAGATTAAAAGTCGTTTGTAATAAAACTCTTTACGAAAACTCCACGCTTGTTTTCTGTCGGCAACAGAGAAATTGGAAACGGGTAAAGGAAAAAGGTCCCCTCAATCCATCATATGCACATAACTCTAACTGGTCATCTCATAAATTATTCTCATTTGTCATTTCATCAACTAATATAATTGTCTTTTCTAGTTTTTTTTTTGTTTTTAAGGAAAAATAGATTGAAATAAGGATGTGTTGATTTTATTCTATTCACAATCATAGATTTCTATTTTATTATATTAGCAAAGAGTAGCATGCAAAAAATATTAGCAAAGAGTAGTACATAGATTTCGTTTTTTTTTTTTTTTCCATTTTTTATACCCTACTAACACAACATATTTTAATTTATTCATATCATAATTAGTTGGTGGGAGTTTTATTCTAGGTAGAGGTGAACTTCAATTGACTACGGTCAATAACAAATAGCTACTTTTTAATATTCATAACAGACCAATAATAATATAGATATAACTAATGGAAAATCAAATTTTGTTTTTCAATCGGTTATGTCAACTATTGAAAAACCAAATGTCGGAAAATTATGTTGTGCGTCCGTATGCACCAGAATCGATGAACTATAATTCCAGAATCGATAAACTATAATTCCAAAATCTATGAACTAAAATTTCAAAATCTAATCCATGAACTAAAAATTCCAGAATGAATGAACTAAAATTCCAGAATATATGAACTAAAATTTCAGAATCGATGAACTACTATTTATAATCGATGAACTAAAATTCCATAATCTATGAACTAAAATTTCAAAATGAATGAACAACATAATGTTGTTGCTAGGAATCGAACCTGAATTTTTTTTTTAAGGGGAGGCGCATTTTTAATAAAACGACGTCGTTTTTGCATCTGTATGCACCATGCATGGTGAATACGAATGCACAGCATAACTACTCCCAAATGTCACCCTATCAAAAATATTTTATTGGATTGACAAGTCATTGTGCTTAATGATTAGCTAAACTATATATATTATCAGTTATTCAGTGACCAAGGTTTTTTAACGTGACTAATAACCCATTTACCGAATAACCAAATTTATTGAAAAACTAACAAAAACCGACCAAATTTTACTTTTCCGCTACTACATAAAGGAAAGGAATAGCGATTACTTAAAAAGAGTTATTACTTAAAAAGAGTTAAAAAGGAATAGCGATTACTAAAAAGAAACCAAAAATATAAGAAGGGTGAGAATATTAGCATTCACCAGTACACTACGAAAGGATAGATTTTACATATACCTGCAGCACTTGATTCACCAAAACAGAAAAGAAAAAAGAATTGTATAATCTTCAGTCCACGGGATCTTCACAGCGCAGGCAGGCAGGCTAAAACAAAGAAACGCAGAACTCCATGTCACCAGCACGAGCACAAACCAGCGAGCCAAAGAACAAATCATGCTACAAATAAATAGGTCAATCATCATCAGACAGACAGACCACATCAGCACCAGCATTTGGTTCAGCTGCAGAGGTGCCCGCTGCATTGCCTGTTGTTCCAAAGTCAGATAGGTCTATTGAATCAAATGTAGTACAGATTTCTGGTAAAGGAGGTAAATCATTACGTTGGTTTGCAAAAGGTTGGTTATCAAGATCTCTGAGCAACAAAGCAGATAGTGGACTATTACCCGTTGTCACGACTCTATTGTTGGGTTCTGAGTTCTTATTTACAGTGGTTGGCTGTAGCTGTGGTGGTGCTGGTACCTTCTGATGTGAAAGATTAGAGGATACGACTTGTGGCTGCTGAGGTGCAACCCGAGGGAGGGAGGATGAAAGTGTCTGAGACTGAGGTGCAACCCGGGGGAGGGAGGGTGAAGGTGCAACCCTAGGGTGGGAGGATGAAGGTGTCTGTGGCTGAGGTGCAACCCAAGGGCGGGAGGATGAAGGCGCCTGATGTTGAGGTGCAACCCGAGGGACAGATTGTGAAGGCGTCTGATGTTGAGGTGCAACCCGAGGGACAGATTGTGAAGGCGTCTGATGTTGAGGTTCAACCCGAGGGAGAGATTGTGAAGGCATCTGCATTTGAGGTGCAACCCGAGGAACGTGGTGTGAAGGTATCTGCACTTGAGGTGCAACCCGGGGGAGGGAGGGTGAAGGTGTCAGCTGTTGAGGTGCAACATGGGCGAATGAAGGTGAAGATGAAGGCATGTTAGCAGCCACATTACAACCTAGCATAGCAGTCGGGAGAGGTGATGGACTGGCAGCAGAAACAGATGTAGGTCTGAATTGATGTAGGTGTGGTGCTGGGGCACGAATGTCTCCAGCTAATCGTAGATTTCCAGCAATTGATTGTGGTGGCCTCATACTCATACAAGCTGGATTAGGAGTTTGCTGTCCGGCTGAAGATAAGCCAACAGGAGATCTCAATGTGGGCTGCTGCATCGACGCATGCTGTAGATGCTGCTGCTGCTGCATATAACTGGAAGGTACAGCTGTGCAGAGAAAAAGAATGTTCAGTTCTAATTTACGCCAAGATTAAACACAAGCACAAGTATAATAATTAGACCTTCAGAAACCAAGACTGATGCTTGAACATCTTTGGAAAAGGCAATGTCAAAGCCAGCCATATTAGAGATGGGCAGCAGAGAAAACATGATAACAAGAGGTTCTCCAAGATATCATGATACACATCGTTTTGCAAGGATCAATAGTTAAAGTGTGTTTGGTTCACACATGGGAATCAAATACTTGGTAACGGTAATGGTAATGGATTTTGGTGAAAGTATTTTGCATGTTTGGTAGTAGGATAGAATTGGAATAATTACCAATATTAATGTTTGGTTATGTATGACCCTATAATGGGATAAGAGTTTTAAAAATACAAAAACAAAAAAATCAAGGCAATTGATCCTAATATAATGACATCCAAAGCACCAATATGAACAAAAAAATCAAAACAAAAATCTTAAAGCACTAATCAAAACTTAAAATCAGATTACCAATAAGATGGAATGATACTCGTTTTTAATTAGGGAATAAGATTTTTAATTGAAGGGGTAATCAAATCCATAGTTGTGTTCTAAAAAGTTTTCAACCAAACACTAACAACGATTTTGATTCCAATACCTGGTGTATAAACCCATGAATCAAACACACAATTAGTAATCCTAATAAACCATTTAGCCCAAAGTACTTGTTCATACCAAAAAATCACAAACTTAACCTCTAACCCCCCTTTTAAATCCCATATAGAAAAATAAGTAAATTTATAGTTCAATACAGTTATGCTTAACCACTATTAAGGAAGCAATAAGCTGGCTGCTACCTCAAACCAAATAGAAATACCATACCTTGCTGCATTTGTGATGGCAACACAGTGGGCCTGGGATCCAAGCACTTAGATCTGAAAGCTTCAGCCAATATCCTGTTCATAAGAACTTTGTTTTGATTCCCTTCAAGTTCATTCTTTCTCAGGAAAAAAGCATTCTCACCCTCCAGAATTTTTGTTTCAAATTTGTTGCGTATTCGTTCAATCATTTCCTTTATTTCCTTTTCACAATCAGATCTCTGCTGCAACTTCTGTTCAAAGATGAAATGAAGTGTTAAAATACAAAGGCAAAAGCAGGGAAGAGATTCGGAGAATAAATACTAATCAACCAAGCCTTAAACTGAATCTAGTTGGAGTTTCCTGGATAATCAGAGCAAAAAGAAGGAAGGAAAACTAGACATTACCCAATCTTCATGGGACTTTACTGCTTGTTCTATTTCTTTGTGTATCCTTTCCAATTCCTTTGAGAGAGGATTAACTAGCATACGAATAGGTGAATTCAAGGAAGGCATAAAATGCGCATGATGCATTCGCATGTCGTTAGGTCCCTGAATAGAGGTCAGATTCAAAGGTTGTAAAATTGCTTGGTTAGGAAGTTCACTTGTGATCCTGACTTCATGGGGCAAAGTTTGAGTGTTCTCAGAAGAGCAATGCAGTTCACCACTAGGCTGGCAGTCAATTCTACTAACTGATGAATCTGTTGGACTGCAATCAAGTGTCATATTAGGGAGATGAACTGAGGCATGCAGTTCCGAACTTACCCTGCCTTGAGAATCAGCATTGCACAAAGGCTCTGCTGCTGTCTCAACTTCAGCTAACTGGGGAGAAGTCTCAGAGCAATGTAAATCATTGCTCCCATGATTAGGAGACTCATATGCAGCTTCACCAGGAGGAGGCTGATTGCCACCAGAAGGTAGTTGCTGTGGCTCACTATTTCCAATCAGTATGGACTCGCAATTTGCCTGTGTAACCCGTCTGGCATCATCCACTCTAGGAGACCCAGCTTCAAATTCTGATAACTGCCCCTGATTGAATTGCAATTCATTAGATGCTAAATGCGGGGAGCACTGATCTTGAGGTACCCGATCCTGTAAGTCATCAACCAAAGATGAATACAGACACTGTTTTCTAAATAATCTAAATGAAGTGCAAGAGTCAACAAAAGCATATACAATTATGCTCCTCACCCAAGAGTTTAAAATATTTCTTGGCACACATGCCAGAGGCAAACAACATTCATATGATAAAAACCATAAATTTTATTAGAGATGTAATAGCTAAATTGGAGGAAAACTAAATATTATGGTAGAAGCAAACAGGGTAATAAAAAAGAATGAAAATAGATGTATATCAGAAAAATATACAATTACAAAAATCCACATACTTGAGTTTGCAGTAATAGTCCATTATCATCTGAACAAGCACCGGCCTGTAAACTGGGCAAGGCCACTAACAATTGCTCTTGGGATGTTGAGTTTCCATCTATGGATTTGTGAGCTATATCATTCTCATTTCCATCATTATTCAGGAAATCGGTATTATTAGCAGGTGTACAATTTTTTACCATTGTTGTAATACTTGCTCCTGCAGGATGCTCATGTCTCAGAACTCCATTATGGGCAATTCCGCGCACTTCTGATGGATGGTTGTGTATAACATCTTCAGTACGAGCACATTCATGCACTTCTATTGAAAATCCATTAGCATGCTCCCCCAGTGAGCTTTCATCAATAGGATGCTTTTCAGAAGTCAGTGGGACCACTGGAACAGTATCCTCACAATGATCATCAATATTACCCACATTATTGGGCTGATTAAGACTAGATACTAATGCTTCTGCAGGGGATATAGTCGCCATTGGCTTCTCAGAAACTGTAGCTGATAAGACATCTTTGGATTGGACCTCATCTGTGGTAGTTGTGGGCACACTAGAAGGTGCCATGCTGCTCTCTGATTCATTCAAAATATTAATAGGCTCATTTGCTTCTAAATGACACTCAGACACAGAAGCAACACCTGGAGGATCATTGACATCTGCATTATCTTGACTGTGGCCAATGTCATCCGCAGAAGCAACATTTGCAGAATTGCTTTTATTGTTGTTATGATTATTGATATCCACATTATCTTCAAGGTTGCAAATGTCATCTCTAGAAGCAACATTCGTAGGATTATCATTGACATCTGCAATATCTTGAAGGTTTCTAACATCATCCCTTGAATCAGACATCTCTCTATTGTCATCTTCAATATCTTGAAGGTTCCCATTGTCTTCCCTGGAATTGGATATACTATTATTATCGATGTCTGCAATATCTTGGTCTCCAGTGCCATCTCCTGAATCAGATATATTATTACCAGTATCTACACTGTCTTGAAGGTATTCAACATCATCTCTGGAATCAGATGCATACAAATGCAGATTAGTTACAGCATCTTCAGTACTGCACAATTCAGCTTTAGAAACCCAAAAAGCAGTATTTTGAATTTCCTCATTTATTTCCTCTTTATGCTTCTGCTCAAATTCTTTCATTTTCAAGTCCTTATGGCAGTTGAGTTCCTCTATTTCCCTTGAAAACCGATTATTTAAGTTCTTGAGGTTGTTCTTTGCCAGAGGAGTCTCACAATGTACAGCACGGACAATGGCAAACTGCACTCTGTAATGTTTCTCAATAGCCACTCTCTTCTCCTCACAGTCTTTTTTGAAGTTCTCAATTTCCTCCTGTTGCTTTTCTTTAAGCCTTGACATCCTCATGTCACACTTGGATTGAACTTTCTTAATCATCTTTTCTGTTTCACTTTCAACCACTATATCCTTTAAAGTTGTGGTCTGCTCTGCAACAACATTTTCTTTCGTAACATTCTCCACCCCTTTTGACAGTCCACCCGTAACAGATACCAATGCTGGTTCAGAATGCCTTGAGGTGATTTCATTCTTTTCCAAGTGCTGCAAAAAAGCTTTCTTCAATGAACGCAACTTCCGGTGAACATTAGTTGCCTCATCTTCAGTACATTCAAAACCCAGATGCTCTTTTGTTAACATAAGCATCTCATTCTCATCAAGTTTTTGCTTTAAAAGTGAGGCTGCCACCCTACACTGAGAAATCACAGCACACAATCAAGTAAGAATAGTTGAATACAGAGTTAAAAGCACTAAAAAGCAAAGTTCTGGTGTGATAAATGCATAGCCAGAAAGCCCAAATCTCTCCTTCATAGGTTGATTAGTTTACTGTGTAGAAGTGTGAGATCACATCTACAAATATACACAAATGTTAAACAAAAGTCTTCCTAAAAGGCTATGTCAAGATGTGAACCAAAAAGTCATTAACACAAAGACAGCTCTCCTTTGTGGGCTTATGTTTACAGTTAATTTAATGCTTGGAATGGTAAGCAGCAATAAAAATTTTATAAAATTAGACTATCACCAAATATATAAAAAACTACGGCAAATATAGACCATTGTATTCCCATCCTTGAGAATACATAAAGGTATGATGCCAGTTCTGATGTATGAAAAAATCATGAGATGAGATGGTGGTCCAATGAGAGGCAAGGAGCCAATACTCACTGCCAAGGCAGAATTAATGAGAAAGGGGTAGGCCAAGAACAATAGAGAGAAACGCACCATGTTTTAAAAAATAAAAATAGAAAATACAGTATAAAGAATTGCAGCAGTGAGTACTTTACCAATAAGCTAGTGTCACACTATTAAAAAATCTAAGAAAACTTAGAATTTACAGTATTGCTAAACTACAAGGAAACAAAGCAATCAAACAATGACTTCTACAATCTCTAAACTTATTCAACATAAATGGCTCATCAAAAAAAAGACATAAAAGAAGATCAACCCTATGTCTTCTTCATGGAGAAAAGTTGAACTGTAACACATAAGGATAGAACCAATCAACCATACAAGACGTCCTTGGAGATCGAAGGCTCTTTTTATGATTAGGAGCATCATGAAAAGGAGAAAAAGAGACAAGACTGTTTGGTGTACACTGGCTCATAAGAGTGGGGATAAAAATTACAGCTATTTGAAAATGAACTACACAATCGCCCCTCAAGACATGCAAGAACTTGCAGAAAGACAGAATGTGACTTAATAGAGGCTAGAGTAAAGGCTATATCAGAAAAACCATGCATGCAGTAAAATAGAACAATATTAGCCAAGCAAATTTTAGTAATTAGTCGGGAAAACATGCATTTCCTAATTTTCAAACATTAAGGATCAAAGACTCAACAAAATGTTCCCAATAACAAACAAGAATCATACATATAAATGTATACAACACATTAAACTAACAGTAAGGAAGATGTAGCTCTACAACATATGGAAAGCCCTTAAAATGGCATGTGGTTCCTTTGTGGCAATGAACAGCCTATTTTACTTTTTGTATAGTTAAAACTGATAATGAAAAATAATTATGGAATGTCTGCCAAAATATAGGAAACTGATTGTAAATTATTAGTTATTAAAATAATAAGTTGAATAAAATTTATTAAATGTATACTTACTAGTATCAATGCTATTTCACATATACTTCAAATAAACTAAACTAGACAAACCATATACTAATGTACATATATGTACCACACATATATGTACATATATTTGTAGTACACACCTGAATCTGTTAACAGCTCTTCAAATTCTTATTTTGCCATTTGAAAACCATTTCGATGTTAAAATTTAAATAGTTCATGAAATAATCTAGGAAAAAGGGTCAAATTAGCCCCCTAAGTCAATTGGGTCACCTAAATAAAATAAAATAAAAAAAAGCTCCATTCAGATCCCCAAAACCTGTAAAATTGTTCAATTAAGTCCAAGTTGACCTATTTAGCAGGTTATTTCTTCATAAATTTGACACGTGTCTTTTTTAAATAATTTTTATTTTTGTAATTTAGTTATTAGAAATTAAGAAAATTAAAATAAAAAAAATAAAATAAAATAAAAAAGATTACAGCACCGGCTGTCCTCGCCGGACAGCCAGTGCGGTCTAAGCATGACGGCCATGGCAGTCTGGAATGAGGGCATGGCCGCCGCCCTCGTTCCAGATCTGGACCTCAAGTTTGAGGTCCAGATCTGAGGTCCAGATCTGGAAGACAGATGGTCATTGCCATCTCAGACACGTCTCAGACGGACGGCCATTGCCGGTTCCATGGCTGTCTGAGATGGCATGCTAAGACAGCACTGGCTGTCTGGCGAGGACAGCCGGTGCTGAAATCTTTTTTCTTCTTCTTTTTTTTAAATTCTTAATTTTTAATAAATAAATTAAAAAACATTTAAAAAAATAAAATTTATTTAAAAGACACGTGTCAAATTTTTGAAGAAATAACCTACTAAACAGGTCAACTTGGACTTAATTGAACAATTTTACAGGTTTAGGGGATCTGAATGGAGCTTTTTTTTACTTAGGGGACCCAATTGCACTATCCACTCGACGTAGGGGGCCAATTTGACCATTTTTCCAATAATCTATACAAAGTAATTGCTAATAAAACACATCTTAATCACTAGTCACTACTTAGAAATAAATTAGACAGACATACAAATGATACTTATTTTTAAAAAAAACAATAATAACAAAATTATAAAAATAATAATAATAATAATAATAATAATAATAAGAAGAAGAAGAAGAAGAAGAAGAAGAAGAAAAACCAGGATAGCAAAGAGGTCCTAACCAGAGATATTTCTAATGCTTGTAAGAGTGTTGCTGGTTCCCTACTAACACGATGGTTCTCCATGATGAAATCTAAAAAAATTCCAACCATATGTTTGATATCATCCTGCATTAAGAAAATGATATGATACAGTTAGCAACTAAAGCAAACACAGCAAGATTGAACCCCCATGACTGAAAGCAACTGAATTGAATGACCAAACTATTTAGGAAAGAATCAGAACCTACAGCAAACTGATGATACATATTTTCAACAAAGCCAAGCAAAAGTGAAATAGAAAATCTAGTCTTATTGGTTTGCAGTGGTAACTATGCTCAAGAGCCTCAAACCATCAACACTTGCGCCACTCCTTTCACTATGTAAGAACTGGTGAAATTTTTTAGCACATAAGCCATGGTTTCCATTCTGTGGCATGTAAACACCAAAAGTTTAAATAAATAAGACACAGGAACCTTCAATGTGACTAGTTCTGGTCGTGGAAACATGCAATACACAATGTCGGATGAAATGACATCAGATGTATGGGTAGAAGTAGACACAGTATCAGTAGAGATTCATAAACAATTGAATGAAAAGTCAAGACAGCTACCGAAAGTTTTAGCACTTCAAAAACTTTAGCCATCTCCGCTTTTAGATAGATGTGAAGGCTCTTCTGCTCATCAGGAAGGGCTACTCTCTCCACAGGCTCAACATTAACCTCATGTGACAGGCTGCATGAAGAATTAAAGGCATGGTCTCCGATGTGTGCACTGTTTTGACAGGCAGTAGATGTTGGCAATGACTGATTAGCAGCTTTAATTGTAGGACCTGCAATAACACAAAAATCAATAAAACAATAGCACATTCTTCTACAATGTTAGGCATCCAGCACAACAAGAAGATCGGTAGCAGGACTATCAGCAAAAGATTGTTCACCATCATTCAAAGCAGCAGGTTGACTGCTTTCAGATACAGGCAAAGTGGAAATAGCATCCACACTACTGTTCACTGTCTTCCTACGTTTCTTTCCTGCATCATCATTGCCAACCTCTGGAGAACATGGTGAGTCCTCAAAGTACTGGACTCTCTTTCTGTTTCTTGGGGTCGGCCCACTTATATGTCTCCATTGTGGATTTCTTCCCTCCAACAGCTTTTTCCAAAACACTTGAGGCTCTTCTCCACATGTATACTTAAATTTCTGCTCACCAAATAATGGAATATCCGTAATGCAAGGTCCCGAACTCTTAAGAACTTTGGAAATAACCGAATTATGAATATCATCAATTTCACTATTTTGTGAAATTATGGCACAGAATTCCTTGACAACATCATTTAAAAGTAACTGTCCACATGATATATCCAAAGCTGATGCCTGGCTGTCACTGGCATGGTACTCTTCTAATCTACTGAATAAATGTGATGCACCCCACATGAGAGTGTTCTTCACATTCCTGTTTAAACTTTGTAAGTTATCAGCATTAGGATTTTGCTTTGTAATCACAAGCACTTGCTCCTCCACTGTATAACATGAATATAACCGGAAAACTCTAATTGGTTTAGACTGTGACACAAATGATAATTTTTGTAGAAGCCTCAAATCATTCTGTGGATTAGAATCACCATCATATATGATGACACCATCCACTGATGATAGTTTAATACTTGTATTACAAATACGTTTTTCTAATAGAAGTACAAATTGGCCAGTTTCCTGCTTCCTGAACCCATTGAGAGCAGCTTGCCTCTTGGAAGTACTGAGACTAGTCTCAACACATTCAAAAGAACCGGCGCCAAATCTTCCTCGCATAAAATCATCCAATATATTACCAAGTAGTGCTACAGGGCCAATAGACTGCCAAAATAAAACATTTTTTGAGGATTTAACAGCGCCAAATTGGAAAAATAAGCATGATGATTAACATGCACATTAGGTTGTACTGAAGCCAACATGGATGCACTCACATATACAACTGCATCTTCAGTTGCATAAAATTCTATAACTAAGGTCATCAGGAGAGTACGTCATAATTAAAGGCAATCACCCTTTCAAATTATTAATAATGACAAAGAAACAACACATAGCTACGGAACTCCTAAAAATTATTTAAATGTAATAATTAATCAGCACTCTCACTCTTCCAAAAGCATCCAGTGAAATCAGAGAGGAGAGAGATTCAAGATACACCATTCAGTAGACCTCCAACACTAAATGACATAAAACTTCATTTTTTAGGAACAGCTAGTCTCCTGTGCTTCGTTTAGCTAAGCTAAACTGCATTATAATGCATGGAATAGACTCAAAAATATAAATTAGTTCCCTGAACCAGGAACCACTCACATATACAACTGCATCTTCAGTTGCATAAAATTCTATAACTAAGGTCATCAGGAGAGTACGTCATAATTAAAGGCAATCACCCTTTTAAATTATTAATAATGACAAAGAAACAACACATAGCTACGGAACTCCTAAAAATTATTTAAATGTAATAATTAATCAGCACTCTCACTCTTCCAAAAGCATCCAGTGAAATCAGAGAGGAGAGAGATTCAAGATACACCATTCAGTAGACCTCCAACATTAAATGACATAAAACTTCATTTTTTAGGAACGGCTAGTCTCCTGTGCTTCGTTTAGCTAAGCTAAACTGCATTATAATGCATGGAATAGACTCAAAAATATAAATTAGTTCCCTGAACCAGGAACTTACTTGTATTTTACTTAAAGACTTCTGCATACAATTTAATATACCCAACAGAAAGATTTAAAGCAAAACAAACAAGTTTTCTTTTTCTTTCTTTTTTGGTTTTTTATTTTATTTTGTATGGACATGTAGGGGTGCGAGGTTGGAGGGTAGACAATCTTTCCAGTGTCACAAAGAAGCAATTAAAAAGAATAAGTTTGATATTAACACAAAATAAACAAATGCATACCTGATAAAAGATAACTACTCTTAGATGTTGGCTTTTCATTTCTGAGAGCATCTTGTCAAGAAGATGCAATTTCCCACTTGCTTTTATTCCAAAATCCAAAATCTCAGATGGAGACAGCCCCTTGTTTAAGGGTAGCACGGTTTGATCCAAAATGTAGGGATGAACACAACACTGAGAAAACCACAAAATAATCACTTTGCAAATAGATGTGCCAGCACTTAAATTGAAAAAAGAATATTAAACTTAGATGATGCAAACTAAGGCCTGGTTTGCATGAACTTATTTGTAGCTTATCTTGTAGCACTCAAGCTGATATGTTTTATTTTACGGCATTTAAATAGACACCTGAAAATAATTTATAGCATTTGAAAAGCTGCTTTGGATTTATCTCCCTAAACTAATTCAAGAAGCTAAAAGCTGAAATTTTTTTAAACCCAACTAAAAAACTTAAAAGGACAACCCCTTATTAAACTATTTTTCACGTTTTGAGCTTATTGAAAATTGCAAATCTTATCACTGCTTATTTTAAGTTGTTTATCCAAACTAGATTTAAATGTTGGCATCAGCCATAGCACCAAGCCACCAGCAATCTGGCATAAAATAGGAGTTGATGAATTGGGGGGTTTGTAACCAAATGCACCATAACTCTTTACTTTGATCTAGTTGAAAAGGCTTACATTTGCAAGAATTAATTAAGTTCCAATAACAGATAAAAGTTATGGATTTGACTCCAAGGTGGAGATAAATATTTAATTAGACTACCTAAGAATGTTCTTTTTAACTTTTTTTCAAAAATCAAGGCTGTCCTTTGCTAAGTGTCACCAATGAAACAGTAAAAAGTGCTCTCCTACACAAAAGGGTTGTACACTAATACATTTATACAAGTATCAAGAGATGTGCAACCTAACATTCCTCAGCATCCACAAAGAAAAGTTGAAACCAATATCACGTCAAAGACAAAAATTGAATTTGATGCTCAAAGTGATTTTAGACCAAACCTTTCGAACAGCGAGAAGAACTTCATTGAGCACTCCAACAGGATCACTTTTTTTGGAGTGAGAGCATAGAGCATTGATATTTGCAAGTAGTGTATTACAGTACTGCTCAAGCTGCAAATTGGAAACTTGAACCGGAAGCCAATACTCAATAAACTTGGAAAGCTCCAATCTATTATCCGATGCAGTAAGCTGTGAGAACATCATGTTCTGTTTTCCTTGACAAATCTCATACTCCTTAATGAGGCTCAGACCATGAGATGAACAAAGAAAATCAGCATTCCCCAATTCCCATGTAGCACTCTCAACATCAAGGCCCTGCCACATCACAAGCCACTCACATTGGCAATCTAATTTATCGCCAGCGTCAAGAATTTGTTCGCCACCATGCAGCTTGGAGAAAAATAACAACCTTTTCTTCAATAAACATTGAGGCTTTGTCCATTCTGAATTCCACCTTAAACCCTGAATGAAGAAAATAAAATTGTTGGTCTTTAGGTTATACAAAAATCAATGGAAAAGTAGAACCCTCTTAAAAATGTGTAAATTCAAGGTGCAGGTTATGGTTAGTTGGTTACTAAATAAATAAATAATAACTGACCGGATCTTTATGTTTAAAATCTTCAAGAATAGATGGCGCTTCAATAACTAACTGTGCTTCAGGTAGCCAATGGTTGTGAACATGGGCAAGACCTTGATACTTGACAAGATACTGCTTCTGCCTTTGTGTTCCTAACATGAAGGAATAGAAGGCAAGAGCAAATATACAACTATTAGGAAAGCAGAATACACTAAAACAATTTTTAAAAAGGTTATTACAAGTTCATATAACTTATGTTGCCAAATACAAAATGCAGGTCAGGCAAACCTTTCACACCTGATACCTCCTCCACCTCCCTAGCATCCCAAATTGACTCTATTCCTTTTGACACTGAGTGGACACCATATTTAATCTTCTTCTTCACACACCAGAGACAATGCCAGACTCCAGATGGAATATCATCTAAATTAGGACCCAAGCAAGAGAGGTGATAGCATCTCCTGCAACCTTCACCATAACAGAGCCTGAGAAGATTGTTAAAGCAAAATTTTAAAAAGGTAGGTAGAAAAACAAATGAAATAGTAGGATATCATAAGAAAAGGCCCAAATCCTAATTAAACATTTCAATGAATGTTAGTATCTAAATGGATCAAAGACAACTGATATAACACCAGCACTGTCATGGTAATGAGATGCATTATGACACCAAGTAGAGCCACATTTAGTTAAAAAATTATATCCCTATCATGCCATTATTAACCCTTGGAAAATAACCTTACAGCAAAAACATAAGAGATTACCCACAGGCTCTTTCCACCTTGCTTGCACACAGCACAAACATTTTTGTGATTATCCACCTGAGAATCCATGTTAGCACCTCCAGATTGCCCAGCGCAATGTCTTTCAGCAGATCCCATGATAACAGTACTTTCAACACCCACTCTATCCTAATATGCAGTCCATCAATAAGAAAAATATCAATTGAACATAAACAACAGATACAATAAACTTAGTTCTAATAATCTAATCTGAATTTGACTTTTTATCTGAATAGGCAACTTATATAGTTATATTACAAAAGATTTCTTCTTCAAAATCTCAAATTTTAGTTCAACCTGATATGAAAGAGTAAAATAACTAGAGATGAAAACTAGACTAGCAGGAAATCTCCACCTACAAAGTGAAACGTAGACTAGACCAGCAAACAAAAACCATGTCTTGGAACAGATCAACTAAGAACTTCAAATTTTCAAACTTAAAAATAACAAAAACTCCCCATCTATCATAAGGTTTTATAACCATAATTGTAGACATTGAACATAAAGAAGTTCCTACATGTGGTGACCCCATAAGCTGCTTCTACTGGTATTGATCTGAGAATGTTAGTAGTCAGTTCAGTGGGTTTAAATTGAACTAATAAACTTAAGTAGATAATCTTTTTTCATATTGTACTCACTCTCTCTTTACACATGCGTGTATCCCTGTTTCATATTTTAATCTATTCAATTCTCACACAGCATACATCAGCTGGCACCATAAACCTACCTTATGATTAGCTATGTTACCAAAATCCATCTTTGGCATGGCAACACATGTGCAGAGATCTACTTTTGGAGAATCATGATCCAGCCTGCAAGTCAGGAAGAAAGATAAGAAACAACAAGCCATTTTGAAAGTCTAGCAACAAAATCAAAAAATTCAAAAAATCAAAATCAATAAGCAAGACCATATGAAGGTGAATAAAAAATTTTAAAAATTTACCGAAATCATCAAAAACAAGGAGAAAAATGTCTTCCATTTTAAATTGGCCTCTATCATTTTTCCTTTCTGATTTTCCGACTGCTCCAGTTGTTTTTATTCCACCATTTTAGGTGAAGGAGGGAGCGTTCGCAATATCAATAGTTATTTTGACAAGTGTATTAAATGCTAATAAATCTAAACACTGTATACTGGGACACTCCCAGATTAACATTAACAGCGTACCTATCCACACTTCTAAATGTAGCTAATGATGACAAGCCTAGAACTCTTTTAAGGAAAATTGCATAATTTGCTATAATATGAATTATACTACAAGTCTACAATCCATACTGAAATATAAGTACCTTTTCTGTTTCAAACATACACCACAAGACCAAGTAAAGCAATGTTTATCATGCTTCACCAATGTTGACTGAGTGGTTGCACAAACTAATCCGCACACAATTTGGCGATCAGCTGATTTTCTTTGAATGCTATGCTCTCCATTTTGTGAATTAAATCCACCACTTGTAGGAGTAGAGCCTATCAAATCTGGGAGATTCTTTGTTGCAGTAGAACACCCCTCTGGCAGACTTTCAGTTTCATCCAAGGTTTTGCTGATTGTACAACCATTTATGGAACCTTTTAAACTATCCCCTTCTGGTAGAGCAACAATTGGTTCACTAGCCAAAATATGTATATGGTTTGCATGTGACAATTCTGCCTCTCCATCAGTATGTAAATTTCCTGTATTTAAACCCTCTGAACTAGAGAGGGAATCTACTTCATCAGCTTGTGCAGCATGGTCTTCACTATACTCTTCTGCAACCTCTCTGTGGCAATCACCACCCCCAATGACTTTGTCCCCAACAAGCTTGGAGTCACTACTAAGTCTAGGAGACTCATTTGGTATTTGTGAAACCTCATCAATTGCTACTTGGAAGAAACAGAGAATTTCACATCAGCATTAAAAAATCTAGTATAGCATAAAAGAACAAGGAACAACTATAAAATCTATGGGCATCTCATTTTTAATCTTTTTGGCCTATATATATAAAGATATAAAAAAGGAAGAGTGACCTAAACACAAAATAACATCAGCAGCTTCAAAACAAACAAAAGGAAGCAAAAAATGTATCTACGAGGCTTGGAGGAGAGGGTCAACAGGATAGTGACTCATATACCTGGCATTGCATCTCTTCTTCGTTGCATTTTGAACAATGATCTAAAACTGCGCCCATCAATGCGCTTTCTTTTTAGGCATATATTCTGGTTACCACTAGTGCTAACTTTCTCAGATTCCATTGTGACCTGCTTCACACTCTTCTCTTTCTTTGTGGCAGACAAATTCAACTCTTCCTCGTATAGAATATGGCTTTTATCTCTATCAGGGGTCCTTAAAGGACTAAGAGTGTTCAGTTTCTCAGGTCTCCTAGACTTTATCTGTGTACAAGGTGTAGGTGGAGGCTGCTTCTCAAGCAGTTTAGACTTTGAAGTCCTTGATGGGATTTCCTGAGCAGACTTTCTTAAACCTAGGCGATCCATCTTTCCCATGCCTGAACTGGATGATCCATTCCCATTAGCCTTGTCAACATTAATTTTCTTCCACGAACGTGTCTTATGAACCATCTGTATGGCTGAAAATCAAACAAAAAGGTCCAAAGTTCTCAACCTATATTATCAAATGGAAGGCAATAGAAAAGCTTTTAATCACAAAATTTGCCTCCATAAGCATAGTTAGAGCAACAGCTTCAGTTGGGGTTTTTAGTGGGTTTTTTTCAGAGCCAAAAAGGAAAGAGAAAATGGGAGAGAGAGAGAGAGAGAGAGAGAGAGAGAGAGAGAAAAGCAAAAAGAAAAAAGGAAAAGGCACTGTGACGCACCCAGCTGGTGCGTGTGCTGAGCACGGCACAGTGCTTTTCACGCGCAACCTTTCTCCCATTTTCCCAACCAATGGGTACCACAAAGAACCTCAATTTGCAGGAGAAAAATATCCACAAAAAAAAAAAAAAAAAAAAAAAAAAACCTCCCCATTTGTTCAAAAACCCATCCCAAGTTTTTTCTTCTGAAAAAACTTCTCCAAAATGCACAAATGGGGTTGCTCTTAAACAGAGGTTAACATGTGCATAGTTAAAAAGGCTTAAAAGTCAACATTTTGATCCAGATGATAAACTTGAATATAAAATTGCACATTATCTATAAATTTATATACATTATCTTTTGACAGAAAACACTGAAAATTCCAGTGCCACTAAACACAATATTGCTCATGCTGGTATTCAGTTTCAGGAATTAAACAGTTGTTCCATTAAACAATGTAAAATTCCAGTCAAAGGGGGGAAAACTTTAGTGCATATTTAGTAACTATGAAAATTCTCCAGTTTTTAAGGAAAAGAGAGTTTCTAATCTTCTATGTTTGAATGAACTATTCTCTAAATTAGATTATTAAAAAATGTAATATTGTTTTCCAACCTAATAAATAAATGAATTTGGCGAACACTGAAAAGGTATTTTAAACATTTTTTAAATGCAAAAGCATACATCACGAGAAGTCTTAGAGAATGATCACCATCACCACTATCTTTCAACCCCTATCAACCTACCCACTCCATTTGTTACTTCACCCCCATCAGCCTACCTACCACTTATACCGACCATTACTTCAACTAGTAACTACCTATCTACCTACTTGCCCTCAATCCCCACCTTCCTAATCACTTCAACATATCTACCTACCGATCCTCCATCCCCACCGATGCATAATTACTTTGACCACCACCGCCTATCTACCTACCTATTTGCTTACTGTTCCCTCATCTCCGCCTACCTACACCACCACCTATTCAGCTATTCTCCATCTCCACCAACACCTAAATACTACTCACTTCCACCATCGTTACTTACTATTCACTCATCTCCGCCTACCTACACCACCACCTATTCCCCATCTCCACCAACACCTAAGTACTTTGCCACCGCAGCCGCCACTTACTTCCACCACCATTACTGTTCCCTCATCTCCGCCTACCTACACCACCACCTATTCTCCATCTCCGTCTACCTACACCACCACCTATTCTCCATCTCCACCAACACCCTGAGTACTTTGCAGCCACGGCTGCCACTTACTTCCACCCTTACTTCCACCACCGTTCCCTCACCACCCCTACAACGCTACCATGACACAGTAGAATTGTAACTTACCACTCTGCATGGGCATTTTAATATAAATAAAGTAATATAATTTCAAATAACTAAAACCCTCATAGGCTCATAGTATTCTGCATAAAGTAGCATAAACGCATCATATCATATCATGAACCATTAAAAACTGCTTTTCTCCGCTATGCAGGACCTCAATCATAACAGCAGCATTGTTGAGCCACAGTGGAAAAAGTGGATTACCTTATAGTCCAAAGAGAGAACCCTTAGGTTCTCGTAAGTGTGCGATTTCGATTCCGTTCGACGAACTACGCGATTATCCACGAAATATCGCTGCTGAGTTTCAGAACCCTAATTTCATCCAGGGAATTGAATTGCAAATGTGGATATAAAAATGAAGAAAAGCGAACAAAAAAAAAAAAAAAACAGAAAAACTAAAAACCCGCGGTGGCAAGTAGCGCTTAGAGTATGGCGTCTGCCGCCTGGAACGTAAAGGCCAGGCCAGTGAGGCGGTGAGATTTTCAGAATTCCGGATTTCCCCCCATGGAAATTGGAAAGCTCTTCAATTAGCGTCCAGGAGACAAACTATATAAGGCCCCCCCATACATGAAATCGTGAATTTTTAGATTGTAAATTTGTAATAATGTAAGCCTGTAAGCTGACGTTTGGTTGGTGAATTTTTAGTTTTTTACTCATAATTTTTTTATATTGTATAATTTTATATTTTTTAATTATTTGTAGATGTCGTCATACTACATAATAATTGACGAATTTTGATATATATTATTATATTTATTTATTTGTCAATTTTTGCTATCCAAATATCCAAATATCGGATTAAAATTTTTAACAATTATAAAAGTTACTAGCTTTTACCCTCAATATTTTTTTTTAAATAAGTACTTTAAAGTATATCAAGGCAAGATTATATGAGAATTGTTCCTCCATAGATAATTGAATGTTGAATTTGCGTATTTAAATAGGTAATTCTAAATTTACAAATGCAAGATAATATAGTCAATATTGATTATAATTGTCAATAAAATAATTGTATAGGTATGGTTGAAACCAAATACGGGACATAAGGGGGAGCAAATAAAAATTAGGACATAAAATATTAAATATATACTAATATTGAAAAGCTAACTGCTGATTGCCAAACAATGACATTGCGAGGTAGTTTCCCGCTTCAATTTGTTGTGTGATTTGAATACTCTTTTGTCAATAAATCTCACAAGTAGTTAATACGATTGACTTAATTATACTTTTTTATTTTTTAAGACAATTATTATTATTATTATTATTATTATTATTATTATTATACCCTTAGGGCATTTTACATGTTAATCTAAACAGTTAATTTTTTTAAATATTTTTTTAACCAACCGTTGATATAATTCGCTGGTCAAATCTGCTAATATAATCCGAGCGCTAACCGCTAACTCATGATTGTTAAACAATGACATTGCAAGATAGTTCTCATTTCAATTTGTTGTGTGATTTGAATACTCTCTTTGTCAACAAATCCCTCAAGTAGTTAATATGATTGACTTTATTAATTATATTTTTTTCAAAGTATTAATAAAATACTTGGTAAATAAATAAATAGCATTATTTTGTATTATAACTTTGATATTTAATTAAAAAATTGTGCACAAAAAAGATAATAGACAATGTAGTGAATATAATCCATTGATGAATTTGAATGTAAAGAATTTTTACATTGGAGAAATATAAAGACAATATAACTAATAAAATTATTTCTCTTAATTACTTTATTGATAATGAATAATTTTTTTTAATAAAGATATTGTAGGGACAATGTAGCGAATATAATCAATTGATGAATTTTAATGTAAAGAATTTTTATATTGGAGAAAAATAAAGACATTATAACTAATGAAATTATTTCTCTTATTTTTTTTTTTTGAATGTTACTAGCTCTATTACATTGTAGTATCTGTTCATATACTTTCTCAACCTATTGAAACATAAAGAACCAATAACGCCTTCACTAAGGCTTGAACTCATAACCTTCCAAATGAAAGTCCAACCCGGGTACCATTAGACCACATAGTCTTGGTTATTTCTCTTATTTAATTTATTGATAATGAATAATTTTTTTTATAAAGACATTGTATACACATAATTCTAAAATAAAGAAATGCATATGTACTATTTTTTGTTGTAGCTACTAAATTATTATTTTTAATTTAATAAGAGTAAAACAGAGTACTAATTATGTCAACTTTGATTGGGATGGGGTTCGAACACCTTTCTTATTGAAATCAATGAGTAAGTTAACGGTGAAGTAACAGAAATTAACAGAAAAGATAATATTTAACGGATATTCATATTGGCATTTGGCTGAGCCATTCATTTGATTAAAAAATCTAACCGCCATTTTTTTCACACATTATATGCCTAACTCTCTTGGGCTTTTATTAGTATAGTAGATTATTTTTTCTTTCCGTCTCTTTTTGAACAATGAAATTGAAAATGAGAAAATTAAAAATTAAACAGTCATTGTTAATGTATTTAATATATAACTTTACACCATGTTTAGTTCACGAAATAAATTTTAAAGGAATAGCAATATTATCTCATAAAGAATGAAATAGGTAAAGTATATAACAATAATCGTATTATATTGTTTGGTTCGTAGAATGTAAGGATTAGCAAATTTTCGGTTAATCGCCTAATAACGGTTAACTGAAAATCGAATCGATCGAAAAAATTAATTTTTGATCGTTTTGGTTATTAGATTTTAAAAGTTTTTTACTTTTTCTATTTTTTATCCTTGGTTTCCGTCGGTTACCGAAAAACCGACATGTAAGGTCGTCTCCCACGAAGACGGCAAATGCCAAAATGGTGAAAGATTTGGCGCAAAATCGTCTCCAACGAAGGCGCAAAATCTCTCGCCATTTTGGCATTTGGCTACAGTAGATTAACGCCAAAATGGTGTTAATATTTTTAATTTCAAGTTTACCTTTTGTCTTTTTCGTTAATTCCTTTTGTATCCTTATTTTATTTTTATAGATTTACAATTTTTTTGTTAAATACATAAACATAAAATTTGAATAATTAAAAATAAATTATACCATTTAAAATATCTCATCAACACTATTAAAACAATACTAAGTTGGAGAGAAGCGCCGACTCCTGATGAAGTTGATATAGGTAGATATGATGCTACTCTATTTCAATAATTTCTTGCTCAACATAGATAAATAAAAGACAAAGAAGCGCATTATGCACTTCGAAATACATTGATTGAGCATATGTGGGAATGATATGGTAATTTTAAAAATTAAATGTAATAAATTGTTAAATATTATATTATTGTGGAATAAAAATATTATTTGCATTACAATTAAAATTTAGATTTAAAATATAAAATTTTAATTTGTGATAAACAAATTATTTTATGGTAGGAATGAAATTTGGTGTAATGGATTGAAAATGAATAAAAATTGGTGTAAGAATATGTTAGGAATGTTTATTTTGGCGTAAAATACTAAAATTTGGTAAAGAATTTGGTGTTTTGGGTTGGAGATGGTCTAATATAATGCTTTGTTTGCTCTGTGTGCATGTATATATTTTGCTAGCTTTTCTATTCCTAATTTCAAATCTTTGCTTTTGTAGTTCAATGTGAATGTGCGTCAATGTATGCATTATTGTGTACTAATAATTGTCCCGTGTGATGCACAAACTATTATTAATTTAATAAATTTACCAATTAAAATTTTGACATCCTATGAATTAGCAAAGAAAGTAATGATTGTGAAAACAGAAAAACCTACTAGAGTTCTTGAACTCAGAATTAATTTTATTAAAAATGTAAGTATAACTTATACAATGTAATATATAATAATTTTAAAAGCTTAATTATGCTATTATTATGTTGATTTTAAAGTTTATTGTTACTTGTATTATTATTTGAATTTGATTTTTTAAAAGAATTTGAAATTGAAATAACTACTTTAATTATATAACTAACGTATTCAAATAAAACTTGTAAATAAAATAACATGTAATATTTGTCGAAAATCTCCACAAAAAACTTAGTCATTTGAAAAATATTATTTATGTAAAAACTATATTTATTTTATATCTAATTTATCCTCTTTATATATGTAGAGTCAAATTAATTATAATTGAGGTTTAAATGAATATATAAACAAATTATATTAAATATATGTTGGTACCGTTGGTAGGAAAACAAATAATAATCAAATAAAATTGACTATTATTTTCTAGAAAGAAGGGAAGAAAAGATGAAGAAAAGTGGCTAGTGTTTGGTGTTGGGTTTTTGCAAGAGTCGAGTGAGCACTCTTTCCTTAAAACCTTATTTGCCACCTCCCAAAGATGCTAGGAGCGTTGTGGCCTAGGCTTCCCAGGATAAAACTTGCTAATGATTCAATGTTTGAGCACTCAAACAAGGAATCCGACGAGCAAGACAATGGCTATGAACACAGTAGGCCAAGAAAGAGTAGAAGCAGAGAGGTTTTGAAGCTGAAAAACGAACTTTCGTGTTCTATGTTTCTGTGTGTAAAACTCTACTGCCTCTACCCTCTCTTATATAGGGTTGAAGGAGCCAATAGCCTTTATTATGGCAATTAAAAATGACATTAAAGCTGCCTTCCAACAGCTATAACAGCAGGCCACTACCTGGGAATTGAATTCAGAATTCAAAAGTGGAATTAATAGACAATTAATTCCGTAACAGATGAATTCAATCCCCTCAACAGTCAGAACTTTCGGGTTCCTGACCGTTAGTGTACAGGGTTCGGTCTCAACTTTCGACCTCATCCAGTTTCGGCCCTTGCACCTCTCGTAAACTCTGTTGCACGAGAGTTGTGCTCTCGGTGCACCACTGCACGAGAGTAGGTGGCTGTTGCACGAGAGTTGTGCTCTCGGTGCACCACAACCTCTCGTGCTCTCTTGTAGCACGAGAGTAGGTGCTCTCGGTTCGGTTCTGGCCGAGTGGCTATACCAGTTGGAAAATGATACCGAAGTAAGTTTGGCATAACTTAGCCCGCAAGGCCAGCCAATTTTCAGACGACATTCGTGCCCCCAGGTGCCGGCGCACACGAGCTCGGGCTTGAATCAAGCCTTTTTCAAACTCTGCTAGTTAGAATTTGATTTGCACCCCTCCCCCGCGCGAGAGAGCCTCTATGCTATACAATTCTACAAGCTTCAAAAGAGCTCTTGTATATAAGGGGGAAAAATCTTCATTCCAAAGCAATGTGGGACAAAAAGCTCACTTTTTCCCCTTCATTTTCCAACTCAAATGGGTCTACTTTGAGAATCAATATCTCATTCACCCATTATCCGTTTTGAGCGTACAATATATCGATCTCTTCGTCTCACTACGAAGAATCCGAATCCACTTTAACCCGACCCAAATCGAAAGTGGACCCCACTGATAATTGTACCACAAAATAGCCACTTAACATGCCATTTTATGCCATTTTAAGCTATTTTTTCCAACAATATAAAACTTTATGAATAAATTTGAACACAATAAACTTTTTTCCATACTTCATTATGCTTTAATATATATAGAGATAAAGATAG